GCCGATGGCCTAGACCGACTAAAATAAGTCGACTATTAGGCGACTGGAAATATTTGACTATTAGGCGACTAGAAATAGTTGACTAATAGGCGAGTAGAAATAGTTGACTATTAGGCGACTAGAAATAGTTGACTATTAGTCGACAAGAAATAGTTGACAAATAGTCGACTAGAAATAGTTGACTATTAGTCGACTAGAAATAGTCGACTAATTTCTGGCCAATGTAGCCGACTTTAAGTCGACGGGACCGACTAGGAATAGTCGATGAATAGTCGACAAATGCTACTAGGGCTTTCGAAAACTCACCATTCAGTTGTACATTAGCTGGGACCTTCTTCGTGTTTACAGTACGCTACTTGCTAAAATTCGCTTTGCACATGTATGTATTTTCAATGCTTTTTAATAATCTGATGATCTCTTGCCACACCCGATAGTTTGCTTGCTTATGGATGCGGATATTAGGCGTTTTTCCCATGGGAAGTGCTGGTATTCCTTACTATTCCGAGGCTGACTCTGAGAGGGGGTATCGCAAACAATTGCTTAATATCCCGGTCCTGATGATTTGAGAACAACATTGTCGAACTATATTTACTCACTCAATCCGATTAGCTCCTGTTGTTGGATGTACCGGCTTCATGGATAGCGGCGGCCTTATGGCGGCGAACGGAAACGAGCTCCTCGCAGATGTTAACCCATCGCTTGTTCCAGTGTCGCAATCCGTAAACGGTTACGAGGCCCATCCGGTCGACGTCCGACTTGAAGGTGGTGAACCATGTCTTCAGTTGACCGCCATGTCGGTATCTCCAATTTGCATTACGGCAGGGGTTCACGACCAATCTGCGGATATCCGTCGATGGCTTGCGCAGGACATGGCCAAACCATTGCAATCGGCGACACTGGATGTATGATCCTACACTTAGCAGTTTGGAACGTCTGCGGTATAGCTCGAAATTAGAAATTTGATCCTGCCAGAAGACTGTTAAGAGGTGTCGAAGACACCAAAGGTCAAATATTTCGAGCGATAGGATGTCAACCTTTCTCACTGGCCGTGTTTCGCAGGCATAAAGTAACACCGGTTTGTTTGATGCTTTGCATATCAGCGGCTTTGTACGTAAGCTGATGTCTGAGCGGGACCAGCGTGGTCTGGCTAGCAGCCTAAATGCATTTCTAGCCTGTGCGATTCGGTTCTTGATCTCGTCTTTGGCCTGACCGTTAGCTAGAATTTTGGAGCCCAAATAGCGGAAGCGGCTAACTTCTTCAATGGGTTGACCGCTGATAAACAGTGGTTGTGCTGTGACGAGACACATAGTCAGGAGCTTCGTCTTGAGTACATTAATCGTCATACCAACAGACGCAACGAAGCTGGTGATTCGGTCTAGCGTTAGCTGTAGTGACGGAGGGGTTTTACCAAGTACGACAATGACATCGGCATATTCCAGGTCAGCTACTCCGAATTCAGGACTGATTTCACATCCACTCTCAGGTACAGTTGAATGATGCATCACCCAGTAGATCAAGAAGTTGAAGAGAACTGGGGAGGCAGGGCACCCTTGGCGAACTCCACAAGTCAGAGGGAAAGAACTTGACTCTTCACCAAGAGTTCTTACTCGGGCTGATCTTGAGCTATAGTAAGCTTTGATCAGATTAACCAACTTTTGTGGGAGACCGTAAGCAAGCAAGATTTTCCCTAAAGCTTCTCTGCCTATAGAATCAAAGGTGATCGTGTAGGCAATGAAACAGGCGGTAGCGACCTGTGGATTTTAATGTCTGTGCTGCAGTATGCGGCGTAAAATAAAGATCTGGTCAATACATCCTCCATCTGGTCAAAATCCTCCTTGGTTAGGACGATTGCGAAGATTGCGATCAGTCGAAAATATACGGAGAAGGATGTCGCAAACAATTTGGCGGCTATGTCTATAAGGCTGATGCAGCGGTAATTTTAGCATAGTGTTATGTCACCTCGCTTCGGTAGGGGTATGATAATGGACAGAGACCAGTCAGTGGGGATGACTTCGGTAGTCCATATAGTCAAGTAAAGTCGTTGTAGTGATTCTGTCAAAGCAGAACAATTAGTTTTGTAGGCTTCTGCTGGAATACCATCTTCACCCGCTGCCTTCCGAACTTTCAGTCGTCACAATACTGATTCTAGTTCAGTTCTCATAAGTGGCTCGCAGTAACTACCGTATGGATTTCCAGTTGATAGCTGTGGGCTCGCAGGTGAATGAATGGGCGGATCCAGC